TATATACTTGTACTGGATCTGCATCCCATCTCGCTTCGATCCTCCTTTGCAAAGGAAAATGGAACACAGGAACAAGCTGTTAAACAAAAGTCCAGAATTCCTGAACCCAATTCAACCATTTCCTTTCCAGACGCATCTTACATGCAGTGCATTTCCTTCACGGTTTTGTTTGTTTGAGAATAGGGTAAATGTCTTGTAAGATATTATTAATAATTTAAATTACGAATTAAGAATATTAACTTTAAACTTTATGACTCTCAAGAAAAGATTCCGAAAATGTTTGAAATATAAATTGTTGTGGGATGATGTACATGAAGGCTGAGAATTTGCTAACGACTGCTTCCTTAACTTTATAATTTTAGTAATTACCAAAGAAATTAGTACTTAAAACCCAAATTTACAGTTATAAACTTATTCATAACTCTTCCCGTCCTACCAAAACTACACCGCCACCTCCTTTGTTGTAGTGGGATAAATAAAAGTTAAGTTTGAGTTCAGAAAAATTAAATTCCTCTAAAACCATTATACATATTTTCCTTTTCTTTTCATTTTTTTTATCAACAAAAAAAAATTTATATTAGAGGTACTCCAACTGTGCTTCGTCAATTTCCTTTGTAATTAATTTTTTTTTTTTTTTGATCAGCTAACAAAATTCATATTTGTTAATATCAATATTGGAATGTAGGTAGTATATTCCTACCCACAAAACAAAATACATCAGTTCAAGCAAAACTTAACCAACATACAAAATAACCAAATATAATCTTTTGGCTTTATGGTAAACTCTCGCAGCCTTTTTATGTTACACCATTTCCTGAACACACATTTGGTTAGGAACACCATTCCTGAATACTGAAAAAGCAACTAGGAATTTTTAATTTTGCTATGAACATAATAGTGGATTTTTAAGTTTAGGGTATTTGTAGCAAACAGTATTTGAAGATGACTCAGAAAAGAAATACTTGCATTTATTATTAAGAAAGACCAGTACAAGCTGAAACGAAAAAGCATGAAAAAATAGCAACATTATTCCTTTAAATCCTGTAAGATTGCTATGTCATATGAGGAGGAATCGTCATATTGGTGTTCTTCTCATCAATATAATCATCATAGAATCTCTTCCAGAACCAGTGCCTCTTCCAAACTCTGTCAACCATTGAATCTACAGGCACGCCCTTAGTCTCCGGTAACAAGAAGAAAGCGAAGACTCCCATAATGACAATCCATGCCGCGAAGAAGAAGAAGATGCCGGCCTGCATATGACAGAGCATCGACAAGAAAGCTTGAGCAATGATAAATGTGAAGAGCATGTTTGTGCTAACTGCGAAGGCGAAACCAGCTGTTCTTGTCTCTAGAGGGAAAATCTCACTGGGAATTAGCCACCCTAGAGGCCCCCATGACCATGCAAAGCCCATCACGTAGACGCACACAAGTACCACCACAATCGAGGCCTCAACTCGTGAAAGAGAGCCAGTTACTTTCAAGTCCAACGCCAATATCACCCCAATAATAGACTATAATGGATTACAAGACAAGACAGTTATATTAGGTATTGTATTAATTCAGACAGATATCATGGGACAGAGGAAGTAATAAATTAATTTCATGAACTGAATCGAAACCTGTGTAATGAACATCTGAACAGCAGCTTCGAGCAACAAAACTCTGCGGCCAGCCTTATCAACTGCATAAACAGACACCAATGTGCTGAACACATTAACAAGTCCTGTAATAACTGCTGAAAGCAATGCAGCGTCGCTTCCGAATCCGACTGTCTGAAACAGAACGGGTGCATAGAACATGATGGCATTGATTCCAGTGAACTGCTGGAACACTTGCAACCAGATGGCAATGACTAGTTGGGGTCGGCTTGATTTCTTCATCAGTTTACGGAATGGGTTCTTTACCTGCCTAGCCATCTCACTAGCGTACACAATGGAGTCGAATTCGTTGTCAATGTTATCGACTCCACGGATCTTCTTGAGAATTTTCCTTCCTTCCTCGACTTTCTGGCGCTCAATAAGGCTGGTTGGGGTCTCACAGATTATCAAGGATCCAAATAACAACAGGGCAGCTGGCCAGCCAGCAATGCCAAGGGAGATTCTCCATCCGTAGGGATGCAGGTTTGCTGTGAAGTAGTTCACCATGTTGGCTATGAAGATTCCAATCGTAATAAAGAGCTGGAACATGATGTTAAGAGCTCCTCTGATCTTAGCCGGAGCTAACTCCGAGAGGAAAAGTGGTACCGCCTGCAAAGAAAATCAATTAATATATGTAGTTTTTCTAAATGAATGTAACAGGTTAATTGCTAAATATTAATTCTCCAATGATCCCGACCGAGTTCTTACTTGGTTAGCGAAACCAACTCCAAAGCCAAGAAAAATTCTCCCAAAAATCAACATGACGAGATTCACAGCGCATGCGGTTAAGATAACTCCTAAAATGAAGAAAATGGAGGCAATCTGAATGGTGGGCTTGCGGCCGAACCTTGTGCATGCTCTTGAAGCCACGAAGCTGGCTATGAGAGCAGCAATATACAAGGAAGAGGTAAACAGCTGAAGGGATTGATCGTCATATTTGCAGTAATTGTTCTCGTGCGCATGTTGTTTCCTTCTATACACAATCGGAAAGAATTCCTTGAGGAAATCATCCATGGATGTAACTCCTCCTGCCATAAAAAGAAATGTAAATTCCTATTGCATCACCCACCAAAAATGATTAAATTGTATAAGCAAATAAGGACTCAAAGTTCGAGCCTGAAATGCCGATATCATAGCCAAACATTAAGCCTCCAAAGGCTGCAATGATCACGCACACAACGACATAAATGGTGATCCTGCCTTCAAACTCAAGCATGTCTCCGTGTTGGTTCAATACAATGGCCGGCGCCATTTTTCACCGGTTTTGAGAAAGACAGAAATTTATTTATGTGCAGAAGAATGAAAAATATGAAATTTTTTTATTATGAAGTGAAAAGTTAAAAAAATAAAATAAAATACAATATGAATGTGAGTATAGGGTGGGTTTGCATAGTTTATATAGGAGAGAGCAGAGTGAAGGGAGAGCAAACAGTATGGTATGTCCTTAAATGACGAGGCGCAAATCCCTCTACACTCTTTGGCCTGGTCTTTTTTGACATTAGAAACATCTATTTTTGGCTTTGATTTGATTTTATCATGCTAGAGTGGATCTGTGAAGAACTGAAACAAATGTTTGTTCAAATTTGAAGAAGTCTAGCACAGTTCATGAT